CATCCTCATATAAATATATTTGCATATGTACATGTCTTATGGAGCTTGGTCTGTAACCACTGATTGTACATAAGGCTGACACTTATAACTTAGATACTGCCTGTATTTAAAATACTGTGAGCTATTATGTTCAGAAGTAAAAGGGTTTTGCATTACTACTTTAAATCATCTCTCTTAAAAAATTTTTTTACATGCACACTGTAACCAGTTATAGGGGCATTTAGCAAATGATCAAGACAACAGAACTTTATAACCATATTCAATCTTGGCTGTTAGATGATTCCCAATTTCATTTTTAGGCTGGTGAGAAAAATGAGCCTCAGAGTGGGAAACCTACATGCATAATCAGATAACTATTTATGGATAAATACTTGAAATTCCTAAATCAATATAATTTCCTACATTGCTGTTTAGTAAGATGAAACTGTGTTGGACTTATGAAGTTTTAAATTTTTATTTATTTGGTTCGACTTGAATTCAACAAATTGATAGTTCATTTTTATGAATGTGGTAAATAACCAATCCTAATTCTTTAGATATTCAAATTCTTCATAGCCGGCTCTTCATCTATAAAATTAACGTTTTATTGGATAAATCTTTCAAACTTCAAAACCTGCCTTTGTCACAGCGTTTTGAAATGATCTGTTCATCTCTGGGCAAACAATGAAGTATTCAGCTGCTAGCCAGGAGATTGGTGGTTTGGGTTCACCTGAGGAGGTACCTTAGAAGAAAGGTCTGGTGATCTCCCTCTGAAAAATCAGCTATAGATACACTATAAAATACTGTTTTACTGTAACAGGTATGAGGCTTTCCTTCTGTCAGAATCAAATCAGTAGTAACCAATTTGACTTTGGGTTCAATGGGCTAACTCCGCAGCTAGATTATAAAGATCCTTAGAGACAGAGCTGTTTTTCATTCATCATGAATGCCCCAAAGATAGCACAATATATGGACTCCCCTCTTAGAAAAAATGTTGTCAGTAAAATTGGTTGAGGTAAATTGAATATAACTGTTTTCTAAATTTCTAAGATAAAATGTTTTTTAAACTTATGAATTTGTCATAATCAGATTATGATATAAAAATTCTAATAAAATAAAATGATATTCCTCATTTCCACATGGCAGTGAATTCTTATGCTATATCTTACAATGATATTAATATTATAAAGAATAATTCCTAAGTTATTAATTAGCTAACTGGATAAGACTCATAGCAACTCTACAGGGCAGAGTAGAACTGTCTCTGTGGGTTTCTGAGACTATAACTTTTTATGGGTCTAGAAAGCCTCATGTTTCTCTCATGGAGGGCCTGGTGATTTCAAACTGCTGACCTTGCAATTACCAGTCCAATAAGTAACCCATTATGCCATCAGGGGTCCTATAGGTTCGCTATTGTAATCAACCCAATGACAGTGAGTTTGGAGTGTTTTGTTTGGTTTTGGAGAATTGGGTAAGTAAATAATTTATCTATAAATAAACAAGATGTAAATATGCAAACATTGTCTATATCAAGATCAGATTTATATTTTTTTAATTCAGATTTTCAATGCTTGGAAAGAAAAGTAGAAGACACGATAAATTAACAGAAATACCATTTTGCTTCCATAAATGCACATGAAAATATTATCATGCCCCAAACATGTCATTTCAACATTAGCTACTTACTTGATGGCCCAAGGACATCTTTGCTATCACTCAGAAGCTTTTAATGCAGGGTGTAAGTGAGCAGCAAACAAACAAAGTCCAAACCAGGAAGAAGCAAAATGCATCAGGACGGAAGCAGCAGTGAAACAAAAGGACAAGGAAAATAGCATTAGTTTATAAGTAGAAAGCACATGCACATCAACACTAATAATCAAAATTTCTCCCACCGTCCTCTCACCATAACTCTCCTCCCCCCTAAAATAGAAAGGTCCTGGCTGAAGCATTATCAAGTACCAAGTATTTAACTTCGGAAAATGAAGGTGGGGGAAAAAAGAATGAAATTGCCGATGTATTTTATTTTGAAAGTTACTGAAATTAAAAAATATATATATTTGCAACTAAAATTTAAAATACAGGTTAAGAGTGGTAAAAAATTCTCTTAAATTGTGAAGAACAGCCAAGGGTTATTCATTCCTTAAATATTTTATTTATAAAGTGGTTTATAAATAAACCCCATGCACTATTAAGTATTAGTCTGCACGTCATGAAAACATTTAACATTGCATAGAGATTTAGTCTTTTTTTTTTAATGAAAAGAAAAGAATTAACATTTACTGGCCCAAACTCAAATCACAACCACTTCCAGTGATCCAAAATCAGTGGCAAGGAGGGTGTAAGGCACCTCATGATCACACAGGCTGGTGTGCTTCTTCCATGTGGGCTTTGTTGCTTCTGAGCTAGATGGCCGCTTGTTTACCTTCAGATGCTATATCTTTTGATAGCCGGGCACCATCACCTTTCTTCACCACTTTTGCTTATGCACCCACTTTGTCTTTAGCTATCATGTCAGGAAGGTGAGCATCATAGAATACCAGGCTAATAGAACAAAGTATTCTTGCATCGAGGGAGCACTTGAGCAGAGGCCCAATGGCCATCTGCTACCTTTCATAGTAAACCTATAAATATATGCACATAGATCTATTTCCCCATCAAAATATATAAATATATTTACATATGTAAATGCCTGCTTTAGACCTCTATAATTGCCCTTTGCCTCCTAGTTCTTTCCTCTATTTCCTTTTACTTCCCTCTTGTCCCACTATCATGCTGAGCCTTCATTTGAGTTTCAGTAATTCCTCTTGGTTACAATGCTGTTGACCAATCCCTACCAGGCCTCTTACATCCTCCTTGCACTGATTTTGGATCACTTGTTCCTTTGTCCGTGGGTTGGTTAACACCACTTCCTTTCCCCCACCTCCCCTTCTCCCATGTCTCCCAGGAACCATCAATCTAGTTGTTTTCTCATCCAGATTGTTTATCCAACCGATCTTATCTATATAAACCCGCAGAGATAACAATATGCACAAAAAACCAAGACAGAAGAAAACAAAGCAACAAAAGAAAACAAAACAACAACAAAAAAACGAATGCCAAGGAAAAAGAAAAGCCTGTGAATAGTTCAAGTCTGCTTGTTGACTTTTAGGAGTGTTTTCCAGTCGAGCCTGATTGGGGTGGGGGGGCACAATCTATTATTCTCTCTTGGACAGCTTGTCCTGGGGAAAGCCACTGCCACATTGTAAAGCAGCCTTACAGAAGGACCCACTAAGCCTTGAAGAAATGAGGTCTGTCAACAACCACATAAGTGAGCTTGGAAGAGATTTCCTGGTTCTCCCTACCCCATACCCACACACCTATTTAAGTTTTCATATGAGATTGCAGCGGCCTGGCCAGCCCCCACTGCACCCCAACAGCTGGAGTGCAAGCACATGTAATTTTAAGTCAAAAACACCTAAACTAAACTGTTTTCAGATTCCTAACCAACAGAAACTGTGAGGTTTTAACTTACAATGTTGAATGATTTCCTATGTGGCAATAAACAACTACAGTATTGGAAAACTAAAGAACTCAAGATGCTAGCAGAAACAAATGTGGGAAATATTATAAATGCTTCACACACATACTCTAAAGACAATTCTCCTCTATTTATATGAAAAATTACCACTTTCCCTAGATTTAACAGAAACAGAAGCAATATTATTATGTAAATACATACTTGGAGGTATTTCATTTTATAAGGCCAGTAAAATGTGAAGAATGTGGGGCTAGTCTTCTCCTTGAAATAAAACATCGTTCCCTTTTTTGTAATTATAGTCTCAAGTTGTGCTGATGAACAGCACTATGGCAACTGCACTTCTTGGCTATTTAAGCTCAAAAATAATTACTAGCAAATAGTAACTCCTGAATATTTGTTTCAAAATCCTTTAATTACACTTATTTTCAAAAATATATCTTCAAACATGCCTGTGTATAAAAATTCAATTCTACCGATTTTTTTTTCAAATTGAGATACTAAAGAATAATCATAAAAACACTATTCCTACCACCATCCATCTATCATTCAATAAATTTTTACTGATTACTATTATAGACAGGCACCATTCTTTTTTTTTTTTTAATCATTTTATTAGGGGCTCATACAACTCTTATCACAATCCATACACACATCAATTGGGTAAAGCGCATTTGTACATTCATTGCCCTCATCATTCCCAAAACATTTTCTCTCCACTTAAACCCCCGGCATTAGTTCCTCGTTTTTCCCCTCCCTCC